CCCTAGTGTACAGTACACAACCCCGTGCACTAGTGTTGGGAATTGGTTGAAATCTCACAATTGATGATTGTTTCATTACCAACGAACAATCATCGAAAAAATTGGTTAGCGTCATTTTTCAGATTTTCCTATCCAGGTTGTTATTGCAGATATTTATAACATGATGCAACTTGCTACTTTAAAGTGATGACTAATATATCATGAACATAAACTTCCCGGAGTCTTCAAGAAATATTCAGTCATGGCTTTTCAGTTAGTGAAGTGAGTTTTCTAAGAATTAAACACGTTTTCATGCCCTGACAACTTCTAAGATATGTTCCATTGTCAAGTATTTCAAAGACTAAAACAGTAGTTCCAAAATCGTTTATGTTCGATTATGAGAAAATGTGATCGATTGCTTGGTCGTTTGGTCACTGCGATCAATCTTCGATTATTTCAATTAATCGAACACCACTACTGTGCACTTAAAAAAGAACCCACGAATCCGTTGGTATATGACCTGATGGTGGCCACAGAAATACGTGCAAACACCTAGTTGCGGGTACAGCTACGTGCAGTAAACTTGGACAAAGTACTGTGACTATGTGTCCCAGTCCACCCAGCTGTGAATGGGTGGATGGGAAAGGATGGGAAAGCCGCAATAACTCGGTGCGCCTAGTGGCTGCAAGAGCTGTATGTTCCCCAGGGAGTTGAGATTGATAATAAGATGTGCCATTGAGATTGACATCCAATGATCAAGGGAAAAAAACACCAGCACCTTGAGCATGCACTAGTACGTGGATATATGCACTATATAAATATCCAATAATAAAAAATAAATAAATACTAATAATTTCAGGGAGAACTGGTAGTGCCCAAAGAACTAACAAGGCCTTGCGGGATATTCTTGTTTTATAACTAAATGTGCTGGAACTCAAATTGGGAATAAAATCAATATTCTGCTCAAGACTGGGTTTTTTCTTAAGTGCTCACTATCTTCAACTCAGAGGTACATTAACAATGTATTTTGAAATGACATTCAAAGCAGTAATATAAACCTAAACATTAAAACCTCATCATGTTCACTGATCCTGTTATCTGTGAAACACAGATTATCTCTCGAAAGCCATAAAATTAGTTACATTAATAAAGGCAATTGTTTACCAGATTTCATACATTAAAAAAATATACAGACTAAAATAACAGAAAATGGAATTGAAATAAATTGTAAAGGATATTAAGTTAAAGTCTTTTATGTCCAGACTTGAGTTGTTCCCCTTTAAACATTTAGCATTCTGAAAATTGATTGGTCAGATGATGCGAAATTATTTGGTATTTGTTGAGCAATTCAACGCCATTGAATGTTCAGGATGTCAGCAATTTAAAACATCTCATCAAAACAATATGTTAAGATTCCTTGTAAGATAGAATGTTTTGATAGTTGTTTCCTTCTTTCCATCTATGAAATGACACCATCAATAAGCAATACATCTTTATATCCATCAATAGCATTTATCTTTACCTCAGGAGAAAACTAAACACATGTTGTACTCTTTATTTTGTTCATTATTCTTCTTCTTTAATTCGCTTGAGACGAATCTACTTTAATGCCTTTATTTTTCAAAACGTCCATCTATTGATCCTAGATTCATGAGGTGAATTGGAGTCTTATTGATCTAAACCAACTGGATTTTATAAATACCAGTCATAACTTGCTTTGATGAGTTGTGTGGAAAGTATGATCATTAACCATCATTCATTGAATAGCTTGTTCATTATCGTTGTGTTACCTTTGAAAATGGGGGATTTTTTTGACAAATTCTAACATTCAAACTCAATACTAGATTTTCAGGCTTAATGATTATGACTAAGTATTTTTGTTCAATCATCAGCAATGCTACATTCATTAACAATGGTCCATTTAATGCATGGACATTTCTGACCGGAAATTATTTCAATGAAATCTAAATGGAACTGAGGTTAATATCATTATCAATTCTGTATTTATTTTCTGAAATAATTCAAAACCATGAAGGCAGAAAATATTGTCCATATCTGGTAGTGGTGATATCATGACAGTACAGCATGATATCTTGATACAAGGCTCACTATATAATACATTCATTTACAACTTCTGTCTCGTAATACATGCAATTCAGTACATTTTAAGTTATATTTATGTAAAAACATGTGAATCATAACAAAAACTGTTCAAGAATGTGATTTTGCAGATGTTCCAGTATTGTTTTTATAGGCTATAGCTACCAAAATCGGCATTGCCCAACATTTTATGCTCCTCCCATACAAACATCCCATTTTCGCTATCTGAAATTTACAAACAAAGTCATGAGTGAGTATGGTTTTACACCGCTTTTAGCAATATTCCAGCAATATCACGGCGGGGGACACCAGAAATTGCTCACACATTGCACCAATGTGGTGAATCGAACCCAGGTCTTACGCATGACGAAAAAACGCTTTAACCAGACATGAGAACGGTAGAGCACAAAAAACACTGAAAATTTAGGCGGGGGTCTTGGGGGTCATTTATTGCAGATTTACATGGATCTCACAAACGTTCAAAATGAAACAAAAATCCCAGAAATCCACGGATCCGTGGAAGATTCTCATGTCTGTTTAACCAAGTTAACCACTAGTGTAACAATCCCACAAACAAATGGTTTACGGTTGTGATTCACTTACAGAATGGGAGAGAACATGAACTTAAGAAAGAAAATTAATGTATCGGGATACAAATCATATTACACCCATATTATCAGGATCTGTATGGTATCGTGCCATACTGTATTGTTACACCCCTACCGCCTGGCAATACGTCTGAACTAATAGGTACAATATGCACATTAACTCGACTCCAGCAGCAGAACATGATGAAACACCTAATGTCACTCTAACCAGGTCTGACATAGCCATAGGCTATATCCAAACTTCATGCTAACTAATCAAAACAGTCCAAGTATTAGAGAAACAAAAACATTGCCAAAGCAAAAGGCACGGATTCGTCGCAGACTCTAAAAACGCAACTTCATCATCTTAATCTATCTTTACATTACCACAGACCAAAGAGTGAGTAAGTGAGTTTAGTTTTACACCGCACTCAGCAATATTCCAGCTATATGGTGGCGGTCTGTAAATAATCGAGTCTGGACCAGTCAATCCAGTGATCAACAGCATGAGCATCGATCTTCGCAATTGGGAACCGATGACATGTGTCAACCAAGTCAGCGAGCCTGACCACCCGATCCCGTTAGTCGCCTTTTACGACAAGCATAGTCGCCTTTTATGACAAGAATGGGTTGCTGAAGACCTATTCTCCCCGGATCTTCACGGGTCCACAGACCAAACACCAGAGTATATTAATTACTATAACATGAACATGTTGTTATTGATAGACACCATAACAATACACCCTTAGTTTCTTATGAACATTTCTCAGATGATAAACTCTGAATAGCTAAACAAAATATGAGAGTGTGTCTGTTTGAATATACTAATGAAATTAATCACATTGGGAAACATACATATATATTTTGGTAACTACTGATTCCTGATCAACTCATTTTAAGAAATGACATTATTAAACATTTTTACACAGGGAGAGCATCTTTCATTAGGTTTTATCTTGAGCTCAGGATGTCTGCTTCTCTCAATCAATAACATATGGGAACTAAATATAAGCTTTGTTATTGCAGCTCTACATTTTGTAATATGTCGGTCTATAATGTACTCAAATTATGAGTTGTCTTCAGAAACCAAAAATAATCGTCCTTGAGTCATGTAATGATGATGTATTATTCTTCTACATCTGTTCGTAAACATTCACGACTCAAAGTCAAAACATACTTCCCGTGTGCCCAACTGAGACATTACAGATGTTTCTAATGAAATTGCTCTACATGTGTATCATCTGCACACACACCTGAGCGCTTCTGTGATAATGAGCCGGGAAGCATAAGCTTCACAGCATCCGAACTTAAGGGGATCCCCATACTGCTTGAAACTGCTATATATTTAAAGGTCTGTTGACAAAGGATAGTAAAACAGTGGGTTGAGTATCACAGTTCATGTATAAAAAAATACGAATTCAATATTAACATAAATAATTTCTCAGAAATAACATTTTCTCAGAAATAACATGTTCAAATACCAAAGTTCAACAGGTAAGACTTCACCAAATTTCCTCCCTCAAAACAAGAGTCTGTACGAATAACAGACAGATAACATTCCTTTAACACATTACCAGAAAATGGGGGAGGTCAAGAAGCAATTCCAAGGGTAATGGGTCTGTGAACTGGTAATGGCAATCAGGCACCATTACAAGGAGACAGTAGCAATATCAGGGCTGGAATTACTGCAGCTCAGTCAAAAGGGCAGCATTTAATCAGGGTTTAATTAATCCTAAACTGATCAGTAGCCTGCCCGCAAGATATCAAGAATGTCAGTCTCACCATGGCAGACATCCAAACATTCAACTGTAGGCTTGATGAACAGCTGTGATAAACTAGGGCAGGAATAATGTTAGTAGTCCATGTGCATTAGTATTTAGTTCCACTAACATAATAGATAAAACTGGATATACGGCAGTAATTCCCTACTTTGTCAGTGCTATACTATGTGCTATATCAACCTGACAGATTGCTGATGTGTTGAAACTACTTACCTGACATACTGACCTCACTGATTGCAAATGTGTCACAACTGAACACCTGACACATTGACCTCAGAGACAGCATCCGGATTAGAATTGGTCTTCAGCTACCCATGCTTGTCATAAGAGGCGACTAATGGGATCGGGTGGACAGGCTTGCTGACTTGATTGACACATGTCATCATATCCCAGCTGCCGAGATCGATGCTCATGATGTTGATCACTGGATTGTCTGGTCCAGACTCCATTATTTACAGACTGCCACTATATAGCTGGAACATTGCTGAGTGTGGTGTAAAACTAAACTCACTTCTACACTACGTAGTATTTCTAATACTTATGTTATACTTACATGTGACATATTGACTTGACCAATCGCTAATGTTTTAAATCCCAAGATGGTCCGGTTTTTATATTTTTTCCTCCTCTGCAACATGACTTGTAGTTTATTGCAATCTCTTTTCAGGAAGTGTGGATACTGGAATAGAAAAATACACATGTTTACTGGACAAATAAACTGAGAAATACAGCAAAACTAGCATCATTTGGGAGTAAGATGTCTCCAGGGTCCACGTGCACAATGCTATCTTAGTGTTATGACTATCCTAATCCTATGTTACAGAGTGGAGTTATCATTATCGTCATGCTAAGATTGCTTTGAGCAAATGGACCACATCTTATGTTAGAGATCTCAAAATCATTAAAAATAAAAAATGATGCACTTGAATTCTTATCTAAATCTGTCAACATTTGTAAACTTGGTCTTAGTGTCAAATATATGTAGCACATTTTACACAAAAGATGTGAACAGAATAAAATCATTGTAACTGTCGTGGCCATAATATCTCAGAGTCCAGTGTGGAGATTTGAACCATAGACCTAATCTGAACTCTGATGCCTCATCCATTAGGGTGTGTGTGTGTGTGTGTGTGTGTGTTTGTATAGCAGGGAATTTTAATATTGCGATGCGAAAGCATATATTGTGATATGTATTGCAATATATTGCAAGAAGTCTTTTTTTTTTTAAAAACTACATATAATCGAGTTAATGCTTGATTTATAAAGCAAAAACACAACAAAATCACTATGCTTGATTAAGCTTTAATAAAAACTTTTAATCATGACAAAAAATGTAAACAATATTTGGCACAAATGAAACAAGGAAATATCCGAAGATTTCCGAGTGTTACGAAGTTTTCCGAAAGCATGTAAAAATACCAGTTTTCGATTGCGGTATCGTAGTACGTATCGTTTTCATGTCTGAACCGGTAATTATATTATATCTGAACCAGTTATATTTCGTAGCCCTACTCATCCACAAGACCAAAGGGTCAGCAAGCCGACAAGACATGGATGTCTCCATTGTGGGATGACTACATGGCATCCATAAACAGAAGACACGTCCCGGGAAACCGTACAGTAAGTTACTGATGCCAATTTTCCTGAAATTTCATCTGAATATGCTCAGCGTATGCATTAGTCACCCATGTAGTGACTGAATTTCCGAGTCCCATACTAGTAGTTAGTGGTGGTCCAATTAATTGAAATAATCGAAGATTGGTCGCAATGTCTAAACGACCAAGCAATCGTAGATGTTTTCTCATATTCGAACACGAACTCTTTGGGAAAACGTGTTTGCATTAACAATATTTTTAACCAGGTTGGTTTTGTCTGTGTCATTAAATTCGCATTTCATAAGCACTACAAACTCATTCATGACTGAATTTATCTTAAAGGTTCCCTGAAATTAATGTTCTTAACACATACTTTAAATATGTGAAATTAGAAAATGCATTTTGTGCAATTTGCAAAAACCTGTTTTTTGTTATTTATTTTGTTTGTTCTGACATTAACAAAGATAACAGGAATATTTGATGAATTACCCTAAACAATTATTTTCAATGATTGATCGGTTGTAATGGACCAATCATCAATTATGAGATTTTAACCAATTCCCAACACTACAGGTAGTCAAACTACACACCTTTCATTCCAAAGATGAAACACCCTGTCCTCATGACCTAGGAGGTTAATACAGTCAGCAAGATGACAAGGTAAGGATGTCATCTGTTGGACACTCCTAGCCAGCCATGCTATCTGCCTGTTTATCACAGTAAAGGACTATTCATTAACTCAGCTGATGATCAAAGTGCAAATATCTTAATAAACAATTTGCTGTGAAATATATTTCCACAAATTCACACTAATTTTGGGTACTGATTCAGTAACAAGAAACCCATCATTCATGATCATATTGATATACTGGAATTCAATTTTAAATTCAGCCCAACTTGAGTCTGATGAGCATAGATCTATTCTGCTTGAGCATCTAACATGTGTCTAACCAGAGATCAAGCAAACGAAATGAGCAATTATGGATTTGTTCCAAGCTTTTGTACGCAGATTAATGAGTGAAAGACTGCTTTTTAGTGCTGTCAATATTGTTGCAGGCATACCATGCTCCTAAATGTCCAGGGAAAAACGTAAGTAAGAGTATTTTGGCACAGACTGAAATACATAAATGCTAACTGTGATTTAAAACGGGGCAGGCTGGCACCTCTGAACCTTGTCTAGCTGTTGGTATGTATTGTTGGAGCTGCACTTGGATCCTGTGTTTGATGTAGATAGTGATGGCAGTCTGTCCAAATACCAAGATAACCTACCAGTCTGATATTTTATCCAGGGTCCAAAGCCTGAATCAAGTAAAATCCTGTTCAATCTTTCAGGTGGCTAATAAAAGTCCACATAGCAGTAGAATAAGCTAAATATGATGTTAAGAATCCAGATAGTGTGAGAGAATGTTTCCTGCTTTGAACTGCATTTTTATTTATATCATGTCTCCCAGTGTGGGAGTATATCCCCAAGTGTTGCAGATCTTGGACTTTTATCACTTTGGTGAAATCTTGGAGTACTGGGCCTAGATTTTCAAAGCTCTCTTAACGCTAAGATAGTCGTAAGTGCCATACATTAACACTAACTTACGACTATCTTAGCACTAAGAGAGCTTCGAAAATCTAGGCCCTGGTATGGTGCAGCAAAACCAAGAAACTTTATGGGGTAGATTGAGATTTGAACCTAAAATCATGGGTTTCAGGGGTGTCCAAGGGACACAACTCTGTAGACACAGTGCCATGAGGACAGGGCTGCCCGTGCCCTAAGTTTGGGCTAGTCGACTCAAAGGGTTTGGGCCAAGACTGAAATTTGCAACCAACATCGCTTTCAGGAAATGTTAACAGCAGATTTTGTTGTCAACAGCAGCAACTCCCTTACCAACAGGCATATCAGTTGCCATTATCACATAATTAATCTAAAGTGCACAATCAGGGCATACCAACGGGTGGTCAGGCTTGCTGACTTGGTTGGCACATGTCATTGTATCCCAATTGCATAGATTGATGCTCATGCTCATGATCACTGGATTGTCTGGTCCAGACTCGATTATTTACAGAGTGATGCCATATAGCTGCAATATTGCTGAGTGCAGCGTTAAATAAACCAACCAACCAACTGCATCGCTCGTACAGCTGCTTCAATTATTGTATAGGCAAACCCTGTCAAACTCGTCGGGTCATTGGGAAAAAGTTTGACTTATCCAGGTGTTCAACACATCCGTCAGCATTGAAATGACCAAGTTCCAACACGACCAAAGTACTTACAACATCCTCACCCTTGATCTTTTGGTAGCACTTTTATAAGCACGACTTTTGTTTGCACGAGTGAAGTTTTCAGTTGTAAGAGCCAACTCTGACAGTTCGGGACAAAAGGGTAAACTTGAACTTAGGGCTTTTGGGGACCCTAAAATGACTTTGACACAACCGGGAATTCGACACATCTAGTTCGAGACATCAGGTAAAAATAGTGATAAATATAAGGACTGACTGACTGAGTTTGGTTTTACGCCGCTTTTAGCAATATTCCAGCAACATCATGGCGGGGGACACCAGAAATGGGCTTCACACATTGTACCCATGTAGGGATTCGAACCCGGGTCTTCGTGGTGACGAGCCAACGCTTTAACCACTAGGCTACCCCACTGCTCCGATAAATATAAGGAAATCAGCAGGGACCAAGAGATGAGTTCAGCACAACCGAAAATTCGTCTCAACCGAGTTCGAGACATTGGGGTTCAGCTGTACATTCTGATTTCCTCCAGCTTAAGCATCTGTTTTTTATTGGCAGACCATCAACAAAGGTCTAATCAGAATCAAGATTACGCAAATCAAGAAATAATAGTTTTGATGCTGCCAATGACCCTTCAGCTGGTATTGCTGAATGACTGACCATGAGTTATGTGATGGGTATTTCCTAGAATTTTGTATTGCAATTTATTGCAATAATGATTTATGTTTTGCGATATGTACTACAACATACTGCATGTATTCTCTGATCTGTAATTGATTATGAACCTGAATTTTAAAAAAAACTTACTATTAGTATTTTGTAATGTGGTCACAACAGATGAAGTGAGAAACATTATATTCAGTAAACAGGGAGTCAATAGTTTTCCTTTTTTAATTACAGGAAACATTCAATTTCATAATTTTATAATATCAATATTGTGCACCTCTTGTTAATGATGAACAGAATGTGTAGCATGGCGCACCTGGTCATGACCATGGTAACAGACTGAGAAAAGGTGGAAAAACTGAGAAAGGTAAAAATGTTTGATGAACCTGGTTTCGTGTGAATGCAGCTTAACTCAGAGAGAAAAACTAAGATTTCATGTGAAATCTAATTCCTTGACAAAGAAAGATTTTTATTTAAGGAAGAAAACTTTGCAGAGACATGCTAATGGCTGTGATCAAAAACAAGCTACTGATGCTAAATATCTGATATCAGATGTTGTCATGGAAATATATTACATCAGGAAAAAACTGACACACGAAACATTCTGTGTAGTGCAGACATTAATTGTAGATGGAATTTCTGTATCAGTCACCATCATATCAGGTTTTAAGTTTTTGTGATTTCAATCTCTTGGTCACATGTGTTTTGAACATGACCCTTGTTTCATGCTGGAGGGGTCCTTGATCCTCCTTGTCCAGTTTCTTTGCAGAACTTTGCTGTAGACCCTAAATGAAGCTTGTCTAGATCTCCCACATGTTCTCAATCTCACTCTCAAGCAGGGATTGGGAAAGGCAAGGGCCATGGGCCATATTGCACATTAGAATAGACAAGAAGACAAAGTCATCAATAACCCCCGCAATGGCAAAATACTCTTCATGATTATGTCTATGAGTTATAATTATGTCAAATATTTAGGTGTGTATATAGAAAAGAAAGGAGAGTATTGAGTTTTTAAGTTCTGCTCCAGAAAGGAGCACTATCACTAATTTCAGTCTATGTCAAACTTGTTGCCATGGAAATGCCCAATAATATTTTATTTAGAATTCCAAAACTACCAAAGGCACCAGTACACCACCAGATCAATCTTCTGCTCCAGTGAAGATATATTGAGCGGTTTTAGAGTTCTGCCAC